CCCCGCCCCTCATCCCCATCCCCCCCTTCCTTCCTTCCTCAGTAGACGCACCTGTCTTTACCCTCTGCCTTGACATGACTGGACGTGGGGCAGGCGAACAACTCGGCGAGACGCAGCGACTGCTGCACGCCACACAGATCGAACTCCGCAAGGCGCAGGTCAAGTACGGCCGCGAGGTGGAAGAGGTCCGTGCGGCAGCAGCAGAGGCAGCAGAGCAAGCTGCGGAAGAGTCGGCAGCGTTGGCAAATGCGCTGATGGATGCCGAGGCGAGACTGGTTGGCTACGAGCAGACACAGCTGGCCATGGACGAGGAGATGGCCAGGCTCCGTGTAGAGCGCGACGCTGCTGTCGCCCGCGCGAGCGATGCTGTAGGCGCTGCTGCCGAGCGCGATCAGCTCCAAGAGGTAGTTACCAGGCTGCGGGAAGCAAACCTCTCTCTGGTCAGCAACCGCAAGGTCAGCCATGCCGAGGAGCCTGCGGATCGCGCGACCCGCGCCGAAGAGGCTGCCGCCTCTCTCCGCGACTCGCTCTCTGCAGCGCAGTCGTCTATGGTCTCGACGGCAGAGAACTTGCTGGGCCAAGTGAGCAGGCTTTCCAGCGAGTGCGATGTGCTCCGTACGCACGTTGACGAGGTCGAGGCCGAGCGGGATGCGCTGAAGCACTCGCTAGCCGAGTCCGAGTTCAAGTGGTCAGCGACGCAGCACGCCATGCTTGCGCTCCGTGAGCAGATCTCACTTACCTCTACCGTGTCGGACGCAAGCGTGGGAGGCTCGCCGGCGCGGGCGGCCATGATTGCGCAGGCGCAGCTTGCCGACGCCCGGCTCCGCATCGACGAGCTCGGCAACGAGCTCGTCGACGCCCGCGCCACCATCGCTCAGCTCGAGGCTGCGGAACCGGCCGAGCCGCACGCACTCTCTGACCTCGAGTTTGAGCTCGAGGCGACCCGCGCTGAGCTCGCGGTTGTCCGCGGCCGCGCCGAGCGGCTCGCGTCCGAGTCGTCGTTCGAGCTCCGCTCGCCGTCGCCGCCGGCGCTGCCGTCACCACTGCAGCCTCTGGAGAATGAGTCCGACGAGCCGCTTCCGTCGTACCATGCACTAGCGCAGCTCTCGTACTCGCCCAACTCTGTGCCCGAGATCGAGCCTGACTCGTCACAGCTCCTCTCCGGCCTCGTCGCCGAAGTCGCTGCCCTCCGCCTCGAAAACGAGAACATGCTCCTGGAGCTTGAGTCATCGCGGTCGGAAATCACTGTCCTCCGCGAGGCTGCCCGCCATCACGCCCGCCTCGTTGCCGCCCACGGCGAACTTGTTGCCCGCCACAACGCCGTCCTCACCTCTTCTCAGCAGTCCGCCACCATCGCCGCGCTCACTGCCGAGCTCGAGTCGACCAAGGCCGCCTACGCCGACGCCATTGCCGCGAAACTCTCACAGCAGCTTGAGCTCGCCACTACCTCGGCTCGCCTCCTCGAGCTCGAGCAGCAGCAATTGTAGCCGTAGACCATGTAAAGCCGTCGCCTGCTGCGGGCGCCGAACACCGGACACCGGGACGGGCGACGACTCGGGCGGCCTGGTCGCACACACAGCCCGCTCGAGGGCGAGGGCGAGGACCGGAAGACAACACTCCTCTACCTTTTCCCGGGCACCTGCAGTCAATGCTTGCGTGGATGGCATGGGTATGGTGGTGGAGCAAAGTAGCGGCAGCGCTAGGCGTAGTAGGGCTGGCTGGGTACCTGGCGGTGACCCGCGGCCTGGCCATGCTCGCCACCTCGGCTATCTCGCGATCCTTGGGGGCATCGGGAACGTTCTCTGTCCGCTCGCTCGGTCTGGCGTATGCACATGACCTTGCGTTGGCTCGGCCGGCCTCGGGCATTGCCATGACACTTGCATCGTGCTCCATCTCCACCAACTTTGTCAACTACCTCTCATCTTGGGGTCATGCCCATGCCCTCGTCGTCTCCATCGCCGGCATCCACGTCGACCTTGATCTGGCCACGAGGCTGGCGCAGCATGTTGCACGCAAAGGTGAGGTGCATCTCGCTGTAGATGACGGCCGTGCCGCTCCGCCGTATGCGTTAGGCCGATATGAGCGGCTTGCGCTGCGGATGCTCCTCCCGCTCTTCCCGCACACCGTTGTGGAGCTGGTGGAGGCCACAGCGGTGGTCAGCCTCCCGCTCTCTGCGCGGGCCCTGGTCTCGCTTGACAGCCTGCAGCTGAGCCTGGCCCGTGGGGAGAAGGATGGCGACTTTGCCTTTCGGCTCTCGGCTCGTGGCCTCGACATGGATCTCGAGTCGCCTGCCGGCTCACTCTTCCGCGACACCATGGACCGCCCCATGGTCCAGGGCGAGTCGCTGACGGCTTCGCTACTGTTTTCGTGGAGCTCGCCGCCACTCCATGCCGGACCGGTCCCGCTCACAGACATTCTTCCGTCAATCGAGGCCTGCGACGTGTCTTGCGGTGCGCTCGGCGTCGCCAGCTGCCCGGCGGCGCTGCAGCTGCAGGCCGCGCTTGTGGGAGCGCTCTTGCCGTCTCGCTCTGCGGGCCCGTCCTCGCAGTCGCTGGCACGCGTCGAGCACGCCCGTGGTGTGGTGGTCCGCCAGCTCTCGCTGCCTGTACACGTCGCTGTCCGGATCGACGAGTTTACCGCCACGCTCTTTACGCCCCGCCGCGCCGCCTTTGCCTGCACCTTTTCTCAAATCACCGGCGAAGCCAGCCTATGGCCTGGGGCTGAGCTAGGCGCGCTGCCACAGGCCTCGCTCGCGCTCACCTGCACCGGCCCGCTGGTAAGCCACCCGGATGCGCTCGCGCCGCTCGACGTCCACGCGCTCTCGCTCAACGTTACCACCCGGTGGAGCCGCTCGGACGCGTTGCTGCGTCTGGCCTCGGTCCATGCCGAGATGGAGGCCCGCCGTGTCCACGCCACCCTCTGGCCCACAGCACTCGCGTGGATCGTGCCGCTCCTCGGCCTCCTCCCCACGCCTCCGCCGCCGCCAGCCGCCGGCGAGCCCGTGAGCCTAGGCCTACCGTTCAAGCTCTCGGCCAAGGCCAGGCTCACTGATGCCTCGGTGCTGCTCCTTGCTGCCGATGCACAGCCAGGCTTCCCGCTCGGCATTCCGCTTGTACTGGTCCGCGCCAGTGCGGTCGGCTGCAACATATCCCTTGCGCCGCAGACGAGGACCCGAACCACAGCGTCGATCAACGGTTTGGTCGGTGAGCGGTTTGAGGCGCCACCCGACGCGCCGCAGTTGTTCAAGGCCCGCCCGTGGCTCACACTTGCTTCCGCCACGTGTGTAGTCTCGCACCGGACTCCGGACGCTGTGCCTGTTGTCGGCCTCAAAATTGCCGAGGTGTCTGCCTCACTCCATGCACCGGCCTCCGCTGCGCTGCTGGCTGTCCTCAACGAGCATGGGCCCGAGCTTGCGCGGCTGGCGGCCGCGATTCCGCGGCGCGTTGCTCCGGCGGGCGCGGTCCCGCCGTCGCCGCGGTCGCCTGCGCCGCAGCTTGAGCTCGCGCTTGACCTCGAAGCCGTTGAGCTGGCGCTCGGCCCGCGGTACACGCTGGCGATTGTGGCGTGTGGGCTCTCATCGACGTCATGGGAGACTCTGGCTGTCACTGCCGGTGGCATTCTCGTCAAGCGGGCAACGAGCGCTGTTGATCTTCCGATGGTCGAGCTCGCGTCGCTGAGGCTCGAGCTGCGGCGTGCGCGCTCAGTCACAGCGCTTGTCGCTGGTGCGCTCCGGGTCGAAGCCACGCTTGACGGGGTCGGCGGCACGCTGCGCGTCGCCGATGTTGTTCCAGTAGCGCGAACTGTGGTCGAGCTACGCGACTGCGTCGCGCCGTGGATCAACGCGGTGGCGGCGCCGAGCACGCACAGGCGCACGTCGCCAACCCACTCGCCGCTGACGCTTGGGCTACATGTCGCCGACACGGCACTGGCATTCGAGATTACCAGTCCAAGCCCGGTCGTCACGCTCTGCGTGGCAGCACTCGACATCGACACAGCCGGCAGTAGTGCGGTGCAGGTAGGCGGCATGCAGCTCGAGCTTGATGGGTGTGAGGTGGCGACGCTCGACACCGGCGTAGTCTCGTTCTCGACCGACATTCCGTCGTCGCTGTATGCGTTTCCGCCTGTGGCGCGGTCGACGTCGCTCCTTGCCGACGCTGCGCTCGACGTCCGCTTTGGTCTCTCGGTGGCACTCGGTTCGGCTTCGGTGACCGTGCCGGCCGAGGCGCATCTCGGCAATGCGATTGAGCACTTTTCGCGCGCTTACCGCTGGATCCGCCCGATGGTGTTTGATGTGATGGGCGCCATCACTTCCGGCGAGCCGTTCCACCTCGATTTGCAGCAGTACCTCACCCATGAGCTTCCAATCTGCACGCCCGAGCCCGAGACTGGCACTGCTGGTGACGGCAAGGTTGACACCGATGCCGACGAGCGGCTCGAGCCGCTTGTCCCGCCGGCACTGCTCGCGCAGTCCGGTGGACGACCATCAAAGCTTCCGGCGCTGACGGTGCGTGCACAATCGGCACCGACGCTGAAGCTCCCGAGCCCGTCAGTGGAAACGAGCCCGTCGCTCTCGCCAACAAGCATTGTTTCGGGTGAGTCGGAGCCTACACTGCTCCCATCGCCGGATGTCTCGCCAATCCGAGGCGTGGCGAGTGCAGCGCAGGTGGCTATTTTCTCGCTCGTCGCCGACGAGGTCCGACTCCGAGTGGCCGACTCGGAGTTTGAAGCGCGGCTGGCACACAATGCCCGCCATGGCCAGTCGGAGAACGAGCAGCGGATCCTCCGGGAGCGGATGATTCTCGACCGGTTGGACCAGCTGGCAGCTGCAGGAGTAGCGCCGCCACCGGAAGTCATCGACGAGCTGTGGGCGCGGGCAGCAGCCAAGGACTCGGAGCTTTACATCTCGCGATACGAGCCGGTGCATCAGCCGGGCTATGCCGCACCGCTTCTGGATGTTCAGCTCGGCAGTGTCCAGGCGTCGGTCCTCACCGAGATTGCACTGTTCTCGACTGGTGGCGCGGAGCTGCCAGCGGCGTTTGAGCCTGCGGCGGTGTGGAAGACAGCGGCCGAGCTGGCGCGGCGCAAGGTGATCAATACGTCAGCGGCGCTGGCGCTGACGGTCGGAGGTGAGGTGTTTTTGGCAGCCGACAGTGTCGAGGCGACGGTGCGTGGTGGTGCGCTGCCGCTGGCGGCGTCGCGAATGTTCAAGGTGTGGGGTCCTTGGATGCTGGCGCAGCACGAGCCGGTGGCGTCGGCGGTGTACACAGTGAGCGCACCGGTGTGGGACGATGCAAACGGCGGGCGCGAGGTGCTGGCGTCTGTCCAGCGTTCGCTCATGCCACTGCACATCTTCCATGCACTCTCGATCTCGGCGCGTGGGCTGGAAGTGAGCCACGGCCCGGCATTTGATCCGTTGCTTGCTGCAATCTCGGTAGCGGCGGGGCGGGTGAGCTCGGAGCTCTCGCTTCCGCACACGGCCTCGCGCCCGCTGGTATGGTACGACAAGCTGCGATTGATGATGCACGGCAAGCTGAGTATTGGCGTCGACGAAGCGTTTGTCGTCAAGCTTTCGGCATCGCCGGAGCTTAGTGTTGCATCCGAGTACCTCCAGCTGCGGGCCGAGGGCGCGCAAGTAAGCGTGAGTGGCGGGGAAATCGAGGTTTGTCTCATGCGTGCGCACGTGACAATGCACTCGGATAAGCGATGGGACGACAGGGCGGCGGGTAAGGCCAAGCCGGTGGAGATTCTCTCGGCGCCGCAGCTCAAGCTGTGTGCGCAGCTGGCCTGGGTAGTCCCGGCCGGCAGCAGTGAGGCGCTCTCGCTGCTGACAGCACCGCTGGCGGTGGGCGAGGCGCGGGCAGCGCCGCTGCCGCTGTCGCAGACTGACCCGCTGGCGAGTGTCACATCGAGTGGGGTGGACATCGAGCTCACGCTGTCGTTTACCGCAGAAGCCGGAAGCGATGCGCAGTGGTGGATGGTGGTCGACCTGTCCAAGGTTCAGTTTCTTCTCGACTGGTACACGACAGCGACAACGAGTGGGCTCTCGGTGCCGATTGGCGAGGGTGCGGTGTTTGGTCGGGCACGGGGCAAGCGAGCGCGGCTCTCGGAGCACGTGCGGGTCCTTGTGCTCTCTGTGGATGTTGTGCAGGTCTTGCTCCAGGTGTGGGACGACGATACGCGGCAGCGCGGGCTCATCGTGCGTGCGTCACGAGTGATGGCCGGCGCGCACCTGGAGCTTGTCTCGAGTGGAGCTAGCAACTCGCTTGGTGCAACGTCGGTGCTAGCGTACTTGGCGCATGGGGCGCTCGCGCGGCTGGAGGAGCTCACGGTGCACATCTTCACGCTGGCCGGCCTGGAGACGTTCCTCTCGCTGTACGCGTTGGGCGCGAGCTCGCCGGCGCTGCTGGCAAGCTCGGGCGACTCGTACAAGGGCGACTTTCTTCTCTCGGCGCCGAGCGTGCACTACGTGCACGGGCGAACGTTTACTGCGGCAGCGGCGGTGATGACGCGACATGTAGGCAACGGCGCGGTGAGGTTTGGCGACAAAGTGGTGGTGTGTGGCGACGGAAGTGAAGAGCCGGTGCTGGAGCTCGACGACGAGGATCGCGAGGTTCACAACTATGTGCTGCACCAGCCCAAGCTGCTGTGGACGGAGGAAGCGCGCAACTGCGTGTACCTGTGGGCGGCGCAGTACCGCAATCTCCGCGAGACAAACGCGAGCGCAGGCTCTGGCAACGTGTTGGTGGGGAGCGCCCCGTCTTCAGGCGGAAGAGCTTGCACGCCAGCGCCACCGCCAGTGTCGCAGCGGAACGTCCATGCGGCGCGGGAGGCTGCCGCGGCCGCCGGTGCGGCAGCGTCGCCGCTGCTCTCGCTCTTTGACGCAGCCGGTGAGGCGCGGGTGGCGGCAGTGTCTGAGGGCGCGCCGGGTAGTGAGGGCGGACCGGCTGGGACCGGGGCATCGCCGTCGGGCGACGGGCGAGTGCGACTGTTCGGCGACATCCCGGTGGTTGTCGAGTACTCTGTGACGTGCGTGGAGCCGCAGATCAACTTTGTGGCGATGTCCGAGGGCGTGCGCGGTTCGATGGTGCTGACGGCGTCGACGATTGTGTCTACGTGCGAGACGTTCCACCGGTCTGCGGTGGTGGAGGTCGGGGCGCATGTGAAGCAGAACATGACGTGCCTGACGACCGAGTTCGAGCACATGGAGTGGCATGTGGATTTGCTGGACGGCGAGTCGCTGACACTTGAGGCGGCGTGGGTGGGTGAGGGCGAGGGCACGCGGCGTGCGCCAGTGGCGGTGATGGGCCCTGCGCCAATGACGCTGGCGTACCGGTGGTACGAGCAGCCTGCGTTGGCGAGCAAGGTCGGCGACGTGACGGCGTACGACGTTATCTTTGACGAGCTCCCGCTTGTTCTCGATCCGCAGCAGTACGCGGTTGTCTCTGACGTCATTGTCCAGCTCTTGCTGGGCTATACGCCGCAAGAGCTAGAAGAGCGCGACGAAGTGACGGCGATGGTGCTGCGGTCGCGGCTGCAGGCGGACGATTTGGCGTCGCTTGACTCGCTGCGGGCGCGCAAGGCAAAGCTTGCAACCGAAGTGCGCAACATCTCAGACTTGCTGCGAGCAAACACAGCGTCCGAGCTGTACGACGAGCAAGAGCTTGCGCTGTGGCGAAGCGCGCTAGAGGCGAAAAAGGCCAAGCTTGTGGCGGCGAAGCGGGAGCTTGCGCTCTCGACCAAGTCTGCGCGTGTGCTTGCGACGCAGGGCGTGCCGCTGCTCAAGGTCGACTACCGGGCGCGCGAGCTCTCGTGGGAGCTTGTGCTCGAGGGGCGGACAGTGTCGCGGATTGTGCTCGAGGGCATCACGGGTTCGATTCTCACCAACGACGACCGGTCTGGCCTCCACACCATGCACACTGTGGACATTTCGATTTCGAACGAGGACGAGGCAACGGCGCTCCCGGTGGTGCTGCAGCGGCAGGCTGGGGCCGACTCGCTTTCGGGCAACATGCTGCGTGTGTACTCGCGGTACGGCAAGCCTGTGGGCGGCATCGACGTGTATGAGCACTACGAAATCAACGTGGCGCCGCTCTCGATTGCGCTCACATCGGCGATGTACAATGCGCTGGTGGCGTACTTTTGGCCCGAGGCAGCGTCGGGTCCGGCGCCAACGGCCGAGAGCGTGGCCAAAGATGGGAGCGGCAGCGAAGGCAGCAGCAGCGAGGGGCCCGAGAACAGAAGCGGCGAGCGAGGTGCCGAGCGCGATTGGGCGCCGGAGCATGCGCGCGGCAGGTCGTTTGGCGGTTCGCGGTACGCTGCGGCGTCGATTTCGAAGCAGGTGACGGTGCTCTCGCCGCGGGCCGGAGGCGGTGAGGGCGAGGGCGAGGCCAGCGGGGCCGGGGCGGGCGGCGGCGGTGGCGGTGGCGGAAGCGACGATGGCGAGGCCGCGGCAAGCGAGGCGCTCGACGACAAGGACAGGGTCAAGCTTGCAGTGCTTGGGCACGGATCGTCGGGCTCTGCGATGCTACAGCGGGCCAAGCTGTTTCAGACATTCAACTATGTCAAGATCTCGCCGACAAGCCTCGACGTGACGTACAAGGTTGAAGAGGGCTCATCGTCTGTCAAGGATCTCAACGATGTGCACGTGAAGCTGGGCGAGATTACGGTCCAGGGCGTGACGTACTCTTGGGACGAGCTGTACCAAGAGGTGGAGAAGCAGATCCTCGGCTTTATCCGGTCGCAGATCTTCAAGATTTTGCTGAAGAAGAAAAAGGCGTCGACGAGCATGTTCTCCAAGGACGAGGCATTGCTTGCCGAGTCTGCCAAGGCAATGGGCGCGTCCAAGTCGCGGCGTTCTTGGCTGCCCAAGGTGCTGTCGTTCCGGCGCGGCTCACGCGGACGCGACGGCGACGACGACAACGAGATGTCGGCTGATGAGGTTGTAGTCTCGAAACAGGCAGAGCGGCAGCTCGAGGTGGCCAAGGTGCGCAAGCTCTTTGGCTCGCGCGGTGATTCGGACCACCAGCACGCCCAACTCCTGCTGGGGACGCGATCGTCGGGACTCGACGTGGCGGAGCGAGTCATGCTCAAGCGGCAGCAGAGCAGGGCAGCCGAGTCTGGCGAAGACGACGCTGGTTCGGCAGGCACGAGCTCACCGCAAAGTCCGGTGGTGCCGGACCAGGTTGACGCGCGGGAGCGGGCGCGTGAAAAGGCGCGCGAAAAGGCAGCGGCGCGGATTGCGGCGGCCGAGGCTCGGCGGAGGAGCCGGAGCGGGCAGTTGCCGTAGCAGTAGTTTACGGCTTGATGAGCTTGCCGTCCTTCATAAACATGCTGAGGAGGACCTTGGGCGTGTTGAGGCACTTTTGGCAGTAGTAGTAGCCCTCGTGGACGGCGATGTCGCCGGAGAGGCCGGCGCCACACTCTGCGCAGAGGTAGCACTCGGGGTGGCAGGGGCCGGCCGAAGTGTCGCGCCGCGGAGCCCCGGCAGCGATGGCCATCCAGCATTGGCAACACTTGGCGGCGGCAGTGCCCGACGAGGAGAGGCTGGATGACGAGAGGGTGGGCGTTGCGCGGGCATCCGGGTTGCATGGCATGCAAAAGAGTGCGCCGTCCTTAGCGATGTACTTGGCAGTGAGGGCTGCGGCGCAGCTTGAGCACTTGACACAGTTTTTGTGATACTTGCCGATGGAGGTCTTGACAAACTTTCCAATGAGCTCGCCCGAGCAGCCGCGGCAGGTGTCGCGTGCCGGCGCGTCTGCGGCGGCCATGAGTGCGGCGAGGTCCATCTTCATGCCGGCAAATGGGTTGGCGGCCGCTGGCGAGGCCTTTGTCTTGGCGGGCGGCTTGCGGGCGGCGGCGCGTTCAGCGCGCTTGCGATCGGAGGGGCGGACAGTGCCGGAGGAGTACGCTTTGGCGCCGACAACTTCTGCGGCGCGTTCAGCTTTGGTCTTGCGAGCTTCACGCTCTGCGGCGATGTCGTCGCCGAACATCTCCATAACGCCGGGCGGGAGCTTGCGCTTGGCTGCAGGCGTGGGCGTTGGTGAGTCGTCGGACTTGAGCATGGCGCGGTAGTGGCGGCCGCAGAGGACGGTACCATTGTGGTCGCGGGCGGAAATTGCGTTGAGGACGGTCGAACACTGGGCACATTTGACACAGCCAGCGTGGTAGGTGGTGCCGGCGAGGGAGAGGGTGCGGTCGCGGGCAAAGATGGATTTGGCGCATGACGGGCACGAGTTGGGAGGTGGGCGAGACGGCGCGTGGGCGGGAACGAGAGGAGACGATGACGGTGGCTGCTCTATGCCCTTGAGCTCGTCGCGGTAGTGGCGGCCGCAGTAGAGCGCCGAGTTGTGGCGCCGGGCGGTGATGGCCGAGAGCGATTTAGCACAGCGGGAACACTTGGCGCAGTCGGCGTGGTAGTTGGTGCCGTCGATGGAGGTCTTTCTGTCCATGGTGTAGAGCTTGCGCGAGCAACCTGGGCATGTTGCAGACGTGGTAGCAGCAGGCCGAGATGCAGGGGCGGGAGCAGTCTGGGGGCTCTCGAGCTCGCGCAAGTGGCGGGCACAGAGCAGGGTGGCGTTGGGGCCAAGCCGGGCGGAGATCTTGGAGAGCGTGCGGTCGCACTTGGCGCAGCGGAGGCATGCCGAGTGGAAGGTGACCGACTCGACAGTGTGTTTGGGGTCGAGCTTGTAGATCTTGCGGGAACATGTCGGGCAGGACGACGAGTTGGCGGAGGGAGTCGGCTCCTGACGAGCGCGGAGGTGACGGGAGCAGAGAAGGATGCCGTCGAGGGAGCGGGCCGAAATCTCAGAGAGGCTTTGGTCGCAGTCGGCACACTTTGCGCAGTCGCGATGGTACTCGGTGCCGGAAACGCGGAGGAGCGCGTCGCGAGCGGACATGCTGCGGGAGCATGCGGGGCAGACCGAGTCCTCGGGAAGAGTGGGCGTCGGGTCCGAGGTAGGGGTCGGGTCTGGGGTTGTGATCCGGGTGGCGGGCTCGGGATTGGGATCGGGATCGTTGCGGAGAGCGGCGCGGTGGTGACGGGCGCAGTAGAGCGCGCCCTTGTGGCAGCGGACGTCAGAGCGGGAGAGCTTGCGGAGACAGTTGGAGCACTCGAGGCAGTTCTTGTGAAAGGCAACGCCGTCGATGACCTCGGGCACGTCAAGCGAGTAAATGCGGCGGCGGCAGGCCGGACACGTTGCCGGAGCATCGGCGGCGGTGGCGGCGGTTGGAGCTGAATCTGGTTGAAGCTCGGGCTCGGCGGTAGGAGCGGGGCCCGGAGTAGGGGGTGGAGCAGCGGCGCGCGCAGCCTTAAAGTGGTCGCGGCAGAGGACGGCACCATCGAGGATCCGGGCGGAGATCGAGGTGAGCGGGAGGGTGCAGTGTGGCTGGGAGCAGGCGAGGCATTTGGCGTGGTAGTTGACGCCGCCAAGATGGGCCGAGTCGTCGAGCGAGTAGACGCGGCGGCTGCAAGCCGGACAAATTGATGTTGGGTCGGCAGCAGGTGCCGGTACAGAGGAGGAAGTAGGTAGGGTATCGGCCTCGCGAGCGTGGCGGCGGCAGAAGATGGTGCCATCGCGTATGTGCGAGGTGACCGGGCCGAGCGAGCGGGAGCAGACCGAGCAGATGAGGCAGGTCGAGTGGTAGACGGCACCCGAGTCAAGGACGGTTGCCGCGGCGGCAGGAGCCGGCTGCTTGCAGGCGGTGCAGGGCGGCGATGGGGCCGGGGTCGGGGCCGGGGTCAGGGCCGTGTTGGAGGCAGGGTTCGGCAAGCGATCGGCGTCGTCGAGGCCTGGGGTGTCGTCTGTAGCAGATGGATGGGTGCGGAGGTGGGCGCGGAGGTGCTTCTTGCAGAAGAGCGAGTTGGAGGAGAGGCGGGCACGGGCCTTTGTCAGAGCCTTTGAGCAGGTGGAGCAGACAAAGCACGATTTGTGGAACCAGACTTGGTTGTACTTGCGCTTGACATCATCCTTGCCCAGCTTGGCATCGCAGACGGTGCACACCTTTTTCTTGCCCTTGCCCTTGCCGTTGCCGTTACAGGCCTTGGCGTCGGCTTTGGCCTTGGTCTTGGACTTGGACTTGGCGGTGGCCGCATCGGTGGCTGCCGGGGCAGTGCCGGCTACGACATCAGAAGAGAGGCCAGCACCGTAGCCAACCCAGGTGCAGACGAGAGACGATCCGTTGACGATGCCTTGGGCCTTTGTGGTCTGTGACCAGTCGACGAGTGAGCCTGACGACGAGCCAATGTGGACGAGGTAGCTCTCCCACTCGGAGCGGGCAATGCCGATCTTGGAGCCGAGTCTGTGTAGCCCCTCGCCCATGACCTTCTTGTTTGTCTGCTGCACGTCATGGTACTCAGTGCTCTCCCCGTTTTCGCCCACTACAGTCACGTGCAGCTTGGGCATGGCTGCGGTGGCGAAAGTGAGAGAGGTGCAGGCGCGTGCGCTGTGCGACGGAGGCTGTTCGCCAGAATTAGTGAAATGGGTGACAGGTGCGGTTCCGGTTGTGGACATCTGATGGGGATGGGGGGGGAGGAGGGAGGAGGGGGGGATGTGTTCTGTGTGTGAGTGTGTGTGAGTGGATGAAGGGGTGGATGAAGGGGTGGATGAGGGGGTGGATGAGGGGGTGGATGGATGGGTTGGTTGGGTTTGGTTGGGTTTGGCGCTGGCGATCAGTGATCAGAGCTAGTCATGTTGCCTATGTGCTTCGATAGGCATTGGCATGTGTGACTCGCATGTCCAAGCACGCTACCCGCAGTAGAGACTGCACTCACCCCAGACTACATCTCCTGCAAAGTTCGATGTGTTGCGCTTGACGGAGGCGGGGTGGTAGTATGATCTCGGCGGAGAGTAGGCTGGTGGAGGTGGCAGGACTCTAGAGTCAACAACTGGACAAAATTTTAGCGAGGAACACCGTGTGCGTGACTTTGCTCGAGTGGCGCCCGTTGACGGCACCCACACAAGCAGGTTGACACACAGGCGAGTTGCTCGAAGGCGCGAGAGAGAGCAAGGCAGGGAAGCACAGGGACGAGTACATTACTCAACTCTGCGCAGAGGTCATGTTGGCGTGGAGAGACAGGGGCAGTCGACGGTTGGGCGTGGGCTGCGTGATGATGACTGTGGCGTGGGTGGCGGTGTGCGGAAGTGCTGGGGAAGGCGCAGGCGTTGGTGGGCAAGACGAGGCACGGCTGACGTGGAGCAAGGCCAGTGGCCTGCATGCGCTGATGTATGCATACACGGCGTATTGCACCGAGGCGCAGGTCACGGCGTGGTCGTGTCGGTACTGTGGCCATCACGGGACGGAGAGCTTCATCCCGATGTACATCATCGCTAACGCTACGCACAACTCGTTTGGCTTTGTCGGCTACGAGCGTGAGACCGGCACGGCCATTGTCTCGTTCCGCGGTACGGTCATGACCTCGCTCAAGAACTGGATTTCAGACTTGGTCTCGGCCGAGATGGTGCCGCTGCCCGGGACGGGCGTGTACGTCGGCGAGGGCTTCCTCCATGCGTGGCTCTCGGTGAGGGCGCAGGTGCACATTGCGGTGCGGAGCGTGATGGACACACACTCGCCGCAGCGGATCTTGGTCACAGGCCACTCGCTTGGCGCAGCGCTGGCGACTCTCGCGGTGCTCGATATCAAGGCAGCGGTTGGCAACGTGCCGGTCAACGTGATCACCTTTGGCGATCCGCGCGTCGGTGACGCCTCGTTTGCCAAGCACTACGTCCGTACGCTGGGCACAGACTCGACAATCCGGGTGACGTGGAAGCACGATCTGGTGCCACACCTCCCGCCCGAGGCGCTGGGATTTGTCCACGTCCCCACCGAGGTGTGGGGCCATGTCCCGGAAGGCAGCCGCAACGTCAACTATACGGTGTGCGACGGGTCGGGTGAGGACCCGTACTGCTCCGACTCTGTTGCATTTCCCGCCTCGGTCTTTGACCATCTTCACTACATGGGCATCTACGAGAACGGATGCATTGATGTCTCGGGCGGCTCGACTTCGGGCTCGAGCGGCACCTCGTCGTCGTCGACCAGCGGTGGCGCCGATGGCGAGATCGTCGGGGGCGGGCGCGGGCGCGTGCCAGTGGTGGATCGCAGGTCGGAGATGTGGTGAGCCGGCAGCAAAGAAAGCGTCTCGCAGTTGTGGGGTTGGGTGTGTGGATGATACGAAGACGCTGGTGGGCGGCCCTGACCCGCACCTATCCACGTCAGGCCAGCGGGTGCCCCAGACTGACCCGGCCGCTGAGGATACAAAACTCGGACGGATCGGGGAAGGCGGGAGGAATGACGCGAGTAGCACACGCCTCGCGCAAGCTTTAGCAAGTAACCACCCCTTGCCACTTACCAAGCTACCTACATATCTCGCCATGGTTCGGTATCTCCTTGCTGTGGACCAGTCAGCGTTTGCCGAGAACGCGTTCTACGCGGCCGTCTCGATGATGATCGACTCGGGCTCCCAGGACAACGAGCTCATCATTTTCTCTGCGGCCAAGCGGAGCCAACTCGGGACGTACGGCGCCTGGGGACTCGGCGCCACTGCCATTGCCGGAGGTATGTTGCACAGGGCTGCGATGGATGCAGGGTGATGGGGAGGGCCACGGAGGTGGTGGTGGGAAAGGAGTGGATAGGAGTGGGCCCAATTTTTGTCACTTTTTTTTTTTTTTTTTGGGGGGGGGGGGGTGCAAGCGACCCACACTCATCCACATCTCGAGCGAGACGTAGTCAACACGCAGGCGCTGATTGAGACCGAGAACGAGCGGAGCCTTGCACTCGCACGCGGCATTGTGGCGTCTTACCTCAAGCGGGCACACGAGGCTGGGATCAAGGCGCGCGGGCTTTGCGGGCTCTGCGACCACGTGGGCGAGCTCATCTGCGACGTGGCCGAGTCGCGCGACTGCGCGTTTATCATCATCGGGCGGTCAGGCATGGGCAAGGTCAAGCGGTTCTTCCTCGGCTCTGTCTCGGACTATGTGCTCAAGCACGCACACGCGCACGTCATTCTCATCAAGGGCACGCCGTCGCCAGCGATCGAGTCTGAGATGTCGCTCGACGATGTGCGGGCGCTCGAGGAGCAGGCGCGCAGCGAGAAGATCCACGACGAGGAGGAGCAGAAGAAGCTCGACGAGCGGTCGTCGTTCCTTCGGTCGGCGCTTGACCTGCACATCACAGCCATGGCCGAGGAGTCTGAGCGGGCGCGGCGGATCAAGGCCGAGGGCGGCGTGGAGGAGCACGGCGGATCATCGATTCGGGCGGCGGTTGTCGCCGCCGAGGAGGCCGAACGGGCCGAGCGTATCGCTGAGGACGCCGCCGCCGACGCCGCCGAGCGGGCTGCCTCCAACTCCTCGCTCGCCTTTACCAAGCAAGCCGAGGAGGCCGAGCGCCGACGGCGCCTTGCCTCGGACCCGCCGGTCTCAGCCCTGGGCATGGCGGTCAACGACTACCTGCTGCAGGTGCAACTCGTCAACCGCGGCCTACAGGTTCCGCAGTAGTTGGGCGCGTGTGCGCGCTTCACAGGACGAGTTCATCTTTGAGTATTAAAAATCACATGTCATCACATGCTCCGCAGAACAGCGAGGTCGACCTGGGTCTTGCTCCGAACGACCGGCTCGCGCACGTTGGTGCTGCTGTGGCTGGCTCCGACCAGGGTGACTACAGACGTCGAGAGATTGAGTCTGGTAGAGACTGGCGTGTCAGATGGCGCCATGCCGAAGCGGCTACGGGCAGTGTTGGCTTCGGCATTGATAATGGCGTCGAGTGAGCCGGGCGGCAGAGAGGGAGCGACGTCGGCGACTGAGGAACGGCGGGCAAACGCGGCGCGATGCGGCGAGCGTGAGCCAGAGGAGCGGCGAGCAACGATTCGGGCGGGGCTCTGCGACGTTCGGCGCATGGTGGCTCGCTGGAGCAGCTCGGAAGCACCACGTGTTCGTGATGATGATCTCGGTGAGACAAGGGCGCGCGTCGGCGAGCTGCCGACGACCGAGCGCAGCGCGTCCGAGCAGCGGCGTGCTTGCCGCGGCGAGGACGATGTGGGCGAGCGAGCGGCGATGGAGGCGCGACGCGACCGTGAGTCTTTGCGGCGCACGACGTGGATGGCGCCGTTGTTGGCAACAACAACTTTGCGCTGTACCGGTGACAGGTTGCGCGGTGAGACCGCGCCAGTGACGTCCTTCCCGCGAGATGAGGCTGTCCTACCTGCGGTCAGCGTCTCGTTGGACGCAAACAGCGGGTCGGCATCAACATTGGGGAGTTCGACTGGGTCGGGGCACTCGCGGCGGGCGCGGTTGGTACCATCGAATGAGTCGTGGATGCAAAGAGTGAGCGACGACGGTGGTAGCGCTTCTGAGCTCGCACGCGGGCGGGCGGAATGCGGCGCGGGTAGCGCTGCTGCTGGCGGTGCGGACGAGAGCGAGTCGGAGAGGGATTGGGTGGGCGAGGAGAACTTGTCTGCCACGCATTGCGCGACGAGCTCGCTTGACGAGCTCGAGTGGAGCAGGCTGCTTGCCGGCACAACTGTGGCGGTGCTGGTTGGGGTGGAGCGATAGCCGAAGCGATAAACAGCGAGGAGAGTGGCAATGGCGATGGCAGCCAGAACGACGCCGAGGCCGATGAAGAAGTATTGCATGTTCTCGCGGTGGACAAAGTACAGGATCTGACCACACGAGAGAAGACCAACAATGTACGAGAGTGCCGTGTGGTAAGCGTTGAGGAACGGGTCGAGGGCGGCAACCAGGATGATGTTGAGGCAAAAGTTGAGGATGGCGGCAAAGAGGCGCGAGCCGGCATCGCGGACAAGGACGGTCTCGGCGGCAAAGACAAATGAGACAAGGAACTGGAGCGTGCGGAACCATAGGCGTGCGGTGCGGAGGCCACGGATGATGACGCCAAACCGCTCGACGAGAAGGTCGCGATCGAGAAGATCAGCACTGCGGGTGAGCCGGAAAGCAATGACAAAGCTGACGAGCGGGAAGCCGCCGCAGAAGAGGATGGCGACAGGCCAGGCGAGCGCGGCGAGCCGAAGGTGGGCGCCACGGTAGCAGACAATGGTGAGGTCGGCCACCAGCCGGCGCGTCCCGTCCCCGCTCTCGACACAGTGCAGGGCCTGAAGGGTGCGGACTGCGATCTGGAGGTAGGCAAGCGAGCCAAGGATAAAAGCGGCATGAAAAACGCGCGAGCGGTACAGGTGGCGACCGCTGACGTCGGTAGCAGGGGCAAATGCTACCTCGTGCTGCTCGTCGACTGAGACTGCAGAGCCAGCATCCGAGTCTGACTTGGGTAAGGAGGCAAGCGAGGTTGAGACGCAGTGGGTCTCGCTGCGCGAGGAACGGATGGCGGCGGCGCGTGCTGCGGCGCGGCCAAAACCCGCCAAAGGACAGCCGAAAGGATAAAGACAAGCAGCGAGCCGCCGAGGAGCACGAGCGTCCCGTAGTAGAGACCCGGGAAGGAAATGGCAGGAATGTCGCAACCAGGTCGGACGGTCTCGATCTCAAAGTTGATGATGGCGGCAAAGCGGACGATGGCACCGACCACCGGCGAGGTGTCCGAGTCTGAAAGCTCCTGCAGGCCGACCCGCGAGACCATGGCCATCTGCTGGAGGATAACTAGGGTGGAGACGATGAGGACGACGCGCTTGGCTGAGAGCATGGCGAGGCCCCAGGCGATGGTGCAGATAAAGGCGGCGAGCGAGAAGATGACGATGGTGAGCTCGGCCTTGGCAGACGCGTCCGAGCCGCAGCTCCGGCACACACCGTTGTCCATAAAGTAGTTTTGAGCGCAGTCGGCGCAAAAATCGCCGGCGTACTCGGGTGAGCAGACCGAGGTTCGGCGGGTGCCATCGGGATTGATGAGCGGTGGAAGGCCGCCGCCGCCGACAGCTCCAGGGCAAGCGGAGCGGACACGACATGCCGTGGGCTTGGTGCGCTCGTTGGGCGACCACCAGCCAGGAAGTGGCCACATGCGCTCGCCTCCGGGACAGTACGCGCCTGGCGGACAGGCCTGGCAACTACCAGCGTAAAAAACAAAGTGTTCACGGATGCAATCGTGATGGACGTAGGTGAGGAGGCGCGCTTTGGTCTCGCGCGAGTAAACCACAGCCGATCCGTGTGCGTAGCGGGTGATTGTGATCGGGTGATAGCCGGTCTTGTTGGAGAAGGTCGAGTTGAAGACGAGGCCGTGTCGGAGCGAATCAACGACGACGGGAACGTCGACGATGGTGGGCGTGGCGTCGGGGCTCGGAAACGATGCCAGCGTAACGGTGAAGGAGAAGGCCGAGGCGTTGAAAAACGCAGCGGCGCCCGGGTTCCTGGTGAGGAACATGGAGATGTCACCAAACATGCCCGAGACCGAGGGGCGGAGGAACCAAGTCTCCGGAATCGGGGTGTAGGACGACATTGGGGGAGGAGGGGGAGGTGGTGGTGGTGGTGGAGGTGGGGAAGGAGGTGGCGGTGGCGGGCGAGGGGGGGAGGGAGGAGGAGGTGGCGGGGGACGGGGTGATGGAGGTGGCCGTGGCGGAGGAGGGGGTGATGGAGGAGGAGGTGGCGGAGGTGATGGGGGAGGAGGCGGTGGGGATGGTGGTGAGGGCATAGCGACACACGATGTTGACGCCAGCGGAGGGTTGTAGTTGCCATTGGACTCGCACGTGTGCAGCCCAGAGCCAGAGACCATGTAGCCGGGATTACACTCAACGAGAATATCGTCGTCGACAGGAGCATTGGGCGAGCGAGTGATGGGATTGATGGCGATGGCTCCGTTGGTTGGGGCCGGGGCTGGCGGACAGACCTCGTAGTAGTTGAAAGTCAGTGCGGGTCTGACGCTCATGATGAGCGAGCACTCAGAGCCGCCGTTGCATTTTGTGCCAAGCTGCTCGATACGCAGGGCCATGCGGTCGTCGCAGAATTGAGGATGATCGACCCAGGCCTGCAGAAGGTCACGAAGGGGATCATCAGTTATTGTGTAGATTGAGCCGCCGGAGTCGGCGACGTCAATGAGGTCAAGGGTAGTAGGTGCAATGGTCTGGTCCAGACCGTATCCGTCACTCCAGGGGCTCTCGTCAAGGCGTTGCTCGATGTCTGTTGACGAGACGGTGTACAGACTAATCCGCACATCGGTGGGTTGGTCCATGGCAGCCTCGCGGAACCCGAGCGTCGACGAGTTGTGGACGTAGATATAGCCGGTCGAGGAAGTGATGGCGCTACCAAAGGTGAAACGGACTGCGCCGACCTTGCTCTCTAGCGGAAGCACACCGACAGAGGTGGCAACCGAGCCGTCCGCCAGCACCATTGCGGCTACATCCTCCGAATTAGCCATGTCGAATGAGCTCTCGAGTGTCGCGCCAGAACCGGCGTTGGCCAACACGACGACGACAAGACTGAGAGCCGCCAAGAGCGGACCTGTTGAGAGCATGGAGGGCAAATAGAAGGAGGGGAGGAGGTGGGAAGGGATGCCAAAGGTCTGTGTGGCGGGAGGGGGTGGGGGGTGGGGAGGGGTGTCGTGGGGGATAGCGAGGTTGTGCAGCTCAAGCGGAAGAAATGAACTGCTGGATATTGGCAAAGGAGAGTGGGGTGTGAATGAAGAGGGTGGAGGGGCTTGGGTGACGAAAAAAAGGAGGGCGGACGGGATTGGATTGAGATGGACGTCGATGGAGACGATGGCTTGGGATTGGAAGAGGGGGCAACCACTGCACTCTACCACACCACTGCATGCACCATGGCCAGCCCCTACCCCACCCGTGGCCGCTCCACGACCGCGCCGTCCATGGCCGCCCCCCGCACCCGCCCCATGGCCGAAATTGAAGTCCCTTGCTAAGATGCCGCACACCGCCGCCTCCCTACCGCCGGCCATGGCCGCTGGTTCCGCCCTCGGCACCAGGCAGCGAGCGACTGCCCAAAGGATAGCGGCGATGCGGCCGCGACTGTGCCTTGTGTATGTTCATTGACCATCGGAAAAAGACGGCAAACTAGATCAGAGGCGAAGCTCCTCCTTGACCTGGTCCTTGGACGAGGAAAAGTCGAGGGTATCGAGAACAACGTCCTCAAAGTTGCCGGGGTCGGCGATGTGCGGATAGATGCGGGTGGCGACGGTGACCTTGTTCTTGTCAAATGCGAGCAGACGGATCAGCTGAGCGGCCTGGTCGCACCAGTACTGCCGCTGAGACTTGCCGGCGGTGCCCGGCGCCTTGCCGCTGCCATGCGAGACGTAGATCTTCTCTACCTTCTCCTCATCGGTAGTGAGCTCATCGACCGAGGTCTTGAAAGCCACAAACGCATCCGGCTGCATGGTGCGTCCAAACGGCTCCTTCGGGATCTGGCCGTTGGCATCGCGCTCGACGCCATCCGACGGGGCAGACGACGAGCTGGCGGCACCTGTGATATAATGCCGAGGGTGGGTGGAGGAGGATGGGTGTGTGAGTGGGTGCCGTGAAGCGGCTTTGGTCTCATGCCTGGCCTCCGGGCAGGGTAGGGAGGGGGACAGGAGCACATACCGCCATCGCCTCCGGCCATCATCTTGGTCTTGATGCCCTTGGCAGCCTTCTTGAGAAACGAAGCCATGTTTGTGTGTAGTGAGAGGGGAGAGAGGTGTGTGGGTCGTGGTCAATCACGTGCACACCAACGTGGGCCGAGTTTTAGCGGCTGCCAGCGCGAGTAGCAGATGCGACACGACCGTTACGCAACACATCGTCGCACTTGCAACTGAGGGCGGGAACCGCAAGCGAGGGTGAGCCAATGCCTTGTGTAGTGGTGGTGCATGGCGTTGGTTGCTTGTGCGCCGCTGGCAGCGAAGCGATCAGTGAGGCAGGGCAGGGCAACAAATGACTTTTTGGTGGAGACAACCAGGAATCCGTTGAGGAAAACAAGTCCAGGACCCCGCCGTGCACGCGCTACCGCTGCCTGAGGAGGTGGGGTTGGGATATTTCTTGTGGTTTGTGGTTGTAGCTTTGTTTTGGTGCGGTTGGTAGGTCACCAGCTGGTGTATTGAGCGCGGTAGGGGGGGTTGAGGGCATGTCGGGCGGAGGATGGGAATTGATCGGCAGAGCGGCCATGGCTGGGTTGCGGAGTGGCCATGGATGGTGGGCTGGCCATGGTGGGGGTAGGGGCTGGCCATGGGCAAGCCTTGCCATGTGCTGTTGGAGCAGCAACTGAAGCCAGCCGCATGTTTGAGTGCAGGCAGTGGCTGCTGTGGTAGCGTGTTTCATGCCCGTAGTGCGGGGTTGAAGCGTGGGCGGTGGCTGATCGCGATCGATCGGCAGGCCGGCCAAGGGTGGGGTGAGGGCTGGCCATGGAGGGGGTAGGGGCTGGCCATGGAGGCAGGGGTCTTGGGGACCACCTGGTGTGTGTCACTTGTGTCATTGACGTGACAAGAGGGTGCGCGTGGCGTGTTTCATGCCCTCGTTAGGGGGCTAGAGTGCGGCCAGCGGCTGTTCGCGATCTGCAGGCAAGCCATGGGCGGGGTAGGGGCCGGGCATGTGCTAGCCGCGTGCCCGATCCTGGCTGCCGGCCGCGCAGCGCTGGCCGGCTCTGAGATTGAACCCGCCGAAGACTATACCGGGGGGTTTGAGGGGGAAGAAGGGTCGGACGGCTGCGACGATGACGAACCTAACCAGTGGGTGACGGCAAGTCTCTCCGGCCCGCTCGGCTTCTACAGCGCCGACGCGCTCATCGACTCCGGAAGCACGTTCTCGCTCATCTCGTTGCAGACGGCG